TTCTAAGCAAAGTATTATTTGTTTTTAAAGCACCAGCAGAAGTGTTGATTTTTTTTCAAGAAGAAAATACACAGTAATGAACTTATTAATGATTTCACCAGATCTGTAAACCATGAGGTCTTATGAGAAAGCCCTGTTAATTGTGTGTTACATGAAAAAATCATGCCAAAGCCATTTGTCAGATATGTAATCTGTGGCTCTGTTTTGTGACAGGAAGCCATTATTTCCACTGAAAAAACAAATCCGTTAAATTTGAACTATTAGATTACAGCAGGGTTAAGGCTGCTTCTGTGCTGTAGAGTCACATCAGGGTCACGGCTCGGTTCTAGAGATGTACTGCAAGAGCTTCATATCTGATTAAGACAAAAAACTGATAAAAATGTAATGCAGACTAACAATATGGAATTATCTGATGCAGTTTGGGGGGGTAGGGGCAGGGGGTATAACATCATTCAGTTTATTTGCATATGTTTGTTCTTTCTACTGAAATCAATCTCTTTGAAGGAAGCAAGAAAACTTTAGAAAAAGAAAATATTATTAATTCTGGTAAGAGAACACAGAAGAAAATCTTTAGTAAACATTTCTTTTCCAGTGTTGATTATCATTCTGTCTAATGTTTATTTTCATAATTTTCTTTGATCCAAGCACTAATAACAATAAAGTTGACTCTGTTTCTTTGAACTAGCACAACTATGCTATGGCCAAATTTGGAGGAAATTTTTAAGTGGCTTTTTGTTTTACTCCCAAGCCACACAACAGATTTATAGGGTAAATATTTGCATAGCTCACACCCTCATCTGTTTAGGAATGCTTCTATGGCTAACAGTAATTTACCTGCTTTGGGCCTCTGTCAGGCTTTTTGGGAAAGGCTATGGGCTGTAAATGTCCAGGCATGTACTAAGCAGCAGTCAAGAGAGCCCGTGGCTCAAGGCTTTGAATCATGGTGCTGTGCTATGGAAGTTGCTGAGGTTCATAGGGACAGCCCACCTGCCCTGGACTTCCCTCCCAGCCCTGCAGCAGGGCAGCAGGCAGAGGCAGGGCAGGGACTGCAGAGGACCAGGCCTGTACTGCTTGGGGTCTCTGCATGAGGGGACGGGAAAAATCTTTGCTGAGCACGGGTTGGATTTCTCCCCAGTCCTCTTCCATCAGAAATTTGGAAAATTCGTATGTACTACAGACTTAGAGAGAATTACATTCCTAATGTAAGTGTTATGCAATTGTAAAATTTGTGCTTGCTATTTACCAGCCTCACTCTGTCAGTTACAGAAGGAAGCAAATGCTGGATCAGCTCCCTGTTTGTTGTTGTTGGTTTTCTTTTTTCTTAGTTTTTGGAGGACAAGATACTAAAGCATGGGACATTCTCACTCTAAGAGTTGCTGTTTTTCTGTTTGTCCCAATGCTTAGACTAGCTGAACAAGAGGCTCTGATCTAAAGATTGATTACCTCTGTGAACAGGTCCAAGTTTCATTCTTAAATCAGCCAGCATGTGGTTGATGACAGGGACAAAGCCAACCCTCATCCCTCCCTAAGCAAATCATCTTACCCTGTACTGTAGTTTGACCAGATTATAATTTCACCATTAAAATAAATGTCAGAATTTCCCCTGGCTTCAGCTGGAGTTGGGTTTGGCCATCAGCTTCTAAGTGCAGATGGTCTGCTGCAGGGCTTGTTTTTAAATCCAGAGGTGTGCAAGTGCTTCCACAGATTATAAAAATATAAATGAATACAAATAATGTGAATTCTGGTGTTGCTAAAAAGAATCATTAGAACATGGGTGTGTTTAAGAATAGATCAGGACTAATTCCTGTGACTGCAGGTGGCTGGCACTTGAGCAAGGCTGAATATTTAAGTTATGAATTGTATAGACAATTTGGGCTGTATCTTTTCTCCTTTTTAATCTCTTTTTCTCTCTCTTTTTTTTTCTTTTTTTAATTTTTATTTATTTATTTATTTATTTTGTACATATTAAAAATGCAAAATAGAAAAAAGAAGTTGTTAGCTTCTGTCTTTTGTCCTGGACAAAATACTGTATTTCTGCTCCTAGAGGATGGATTCCTCAGAAGGTACCTAAGGACTCCTGTGTAAATGTGCAAAAGTGCTTCCCTTAACAGAAAATCATCACAGCTGTGCATGCAAACAAAAAGGAAAGGTTGTTCAGTTCCTTTGTTGTTTTGTTGGGTTTTTTTTCTTTTCAGCTTAGGAAAACAGAAATATCAGAACTGATCTGTACAGTTCACTTTCACATAAGTACTCCTAAGAATATGGGACTGGAAAAAACCACACTGCTTCAGGCTGCTTCCTAGATTGCTGGCAACTGTACTGTGGCATGGGTACAAAATGGGCAGAATGGGCCCAGCTCCTCTGTAGATGCCCCTGTAAGCAAAAGTAGGAAACAGGGAGTTACAGAATGCCCATTTCTCAGTGGATGAGAATTCCAAAACGTAGGGTCTTTAAATTCTTACACAGTGAACATGAAATTACAGTAAGGATTTCATAATTTCATCAGCAGGCTTTGAAAGATAGTTGTGTGGAGAGCGAGGAGAGGAGTATTTGAAAGTGAGCAAATCTATTTTGCATTGTTCAACCCAATGTTGTTGTTCACTTTACTTTTTTACCTTTTAAAAATTTAAAAACAATCAAGAAAACAATATAGCAGTGCTCACTTGCTGGAAAAAGCTCTCACTATCTATTTTCACCATAAAATCCAGGACTTTGGCATACATAAGCAGAGTCCCTTGGATTCTCTAACCCCTGAGACTACCTGGCTTGCAGGATAATTCAGAGCTAAGCACAGAATTGTGTGCAGCTTTCTTCTCTCCTCCCTTTTTGAATAAACATTTCTACTCCACATTTCTGCAGAGGTGTAGACAGAGCAGAACCATCTGTCTGAGCCTGCAGAAGTCTGAAACAGCAGTGAGAGGTATATTGCTTGAAAACCAAATAGTTTTTCTATGTCATGCTGAAAACTCAACAGGTTACAGCTTAGAATAAGTGAGAATCCACCTAAGAGTAGTGCATGGCATGGCATGGCACAGCGATGAATCTGGTGTTGTTTTAGCTATCTAGATTGATTGATGTAGATGTTAAATGACAGATTTGAGATTTTTGTGATTACATGCTTTATCACTGTTGGCCCAAAAATGGACCTTTAGTGGGTGTAAAGTTTTTGTGATGCTTGGCAAAGGATGCAGCCGATGTTCTAGCTTATGTGCATTGCTGGAGAGCCTTAAGCAGTCCTCCTAAAAACAGCTCTCCAGCAGGATTCTTGTACTCTTCTCAGCTGAGGACTGAGACAAGGCTTGTGCTTCAAGATCATGTTTTATATAGTCCCACAGTAATTCTTTTTCCTTTATCTCCATTAATTTTCCTTTGCCAGTTCTGGTCTGTTCTCTTCTGCTCAGCAGGGGGTGTTTTTGTTCTTTTTCTTCGTTGCTATTAATTTTCCTATAACACAACTGTCTACTATATTTGCATAGCATCCACCATCGAGATACTAAGATAGTTTTCAAGTACATTAAATTCCACATTTTAAAACAGTAATAAAAGGCTTTTGCTAAATAAATATATAAAGCTGCTCACAGATCGTGCAACAAGGAAACCAAATACAGAGCTCAAGTTCCTGGAACTTGGGAGGACAAAGGAGCAGTTTACTAAACAGCCTTTTCCCAACACTCAGAGCTCTGATAATCCTTAGAGGAAATAATAAATCTTTCTCTTTTTTGCTCTTCCCTGCGTTTCTTTTGTTGTTTCTGATTTTAAAGAAATGACGAGTGTAGGTACTACTTAGAAGGCAATTCCTGGATGTTTCTGGTAGTCCAATCAAGGGACAAGACTGTGAATAGGAAAGGGAGGTGATCAATTCGTCCTGTAAAGGAATTAAAAACAAAAGCGGAAATCCTTTGTAAGAAAAAGAGTGGCTGGGATTATAGCTGCATGCTTTCACTAATGACTTTGCAAACATTTAGTCAGAGAGAACCTGGAAATCAAGTTGCACTTTATTTAATATTCAGATAAGGACCATTCACCTGCTGTTAAGCTACAACATCTACAATCATTCTTTGAATACTGATAATTATATGAAGCAGACTCCCCTAGAGGCTGGTAGTCTAGTCTGGATTCACCTGGAATACAAAGATGAATAATATTGCATATTACATGCTCCCAAGTAGTTGCAATTTATAGAAATGTCCATTTATGCTCTTGAAAAAAAAAAAAAAAAAAGAAGCATATTTCCCTTGGGTTATGTTATACAGTGATAAAAATCTATGTGTGGGACTGCTTGGATTATAACTCCTAGTATGCCTGTTGCTGATTAATTAATAAACAAATAAAGCATCATATTTAGCCAGCTATCTCACTACGAGACTATAAAATAGAAAATGTTAAAAAAAAAAAAAAAAAAAAAGTGTACCTTGCCATAGAGAAAGGTTAAGCAGAGACATGTGAAATGAGTTTCAGAAGTGGCACACAAATGGCTCAGAGTAGGTGTGTGTATACATTTTTAGAAGATGAGGAGTGTTATGAATGTGCTCTGTTAGCTTCCTCCTTCCCTTCTCTTTCTCCCATCAGGTGCCTTGTCCTTGCTCTCCCCTCTCATTTGCTGATGGCTGATAACACCTTATCTCCACCAGGGAAGCAACTGGGAAGTTTGCTCCTTCCTCACTAGGCTGAGGGTATAATTAGAACAACGCACCTGCTCAGTCCTCCAGTGACTCAGTTAGTCTACATCCATGTCAAAATCCATGCTGTGAGGGTAATTTGATCATCTCACTTACTTTTTCATATACTTTATGTGAATAAGCTACCAGAACAAGCCTTTGTTGCTTTGGATCAGTTTAATCTCACAAATTTGTGTCACTTCTTTGTTTCTAGAAGAATTTTATCATTTGATCTCATGGTTACACTTTAGTAGACTTCAGTACATATTTTATTTCCCTCTCCAGAATATAAAATTCCATCTTGTGTCAAAATATTCTTATTAGTATCTATTTATATTTCAGAGATACTTAGAATCTTCAGCTGCTGAGAGCAGGGTCTTGTACAAGATGATACAGAGGCACACAATAAAGGACTGCTGGTCCCAGGAGCCTGGCAAGCTAAGCAAGGGGAGAGAAGAAATATCACCACTGTTTTACAAATGGAAATATGGAAAACCAGAGCTCTGAGAATCTGTGCAACTCATTGCAGTGTCACACAGCAATATTGGCAAGGGAATTCTGTCAAAGTCCAGAATCAGTGCATACTAAAGGTGGGTATAAACCCTGTTTTCTTGGCAAGCATCAATATAAGCTCAAATAAATTACAGGTGGGTACACTGGTATCATTTGCACACTGAGCATGCCAAGGCTCCCTGGGTCTCCTCTGCGGTTATTTCTCCCCTAGCTCCATCCTTCAAAGCAGCAGATACTGCTTTTTGATGCTGTCCTCTTAGGCTTATAGAAGTTAGTCTACCACTGCTTCCTCTAGCACTTAACAAAAATTTACCTCTGGCCCTGAGATGCCACAGCAGTATCAAATCTCTCTGACTGCAGCAGCTTCCAGGCACAGCAGAGAGACACCAAAGGTCCTTTAGTTTCTCCTTCCAAGCATCCAAGGAGTAATGCAATTGTTTTGTCCTTGAACGTAGCCTGGAATCTCTTGCATTAGAGTACTTTTCCTCTGCTCTTCCCAGCAGACCCTGTAATCCTGGGGAAGCGGTAGCAAGCAGGGGGTATTCACTCAAGACCAAGCACTGGAGAAGCGCGTTGATATTCCCTGAAGACAAAATAAACCGAGTGGAAAGTTCACTGTCTTCCTTTTGAAGATGACTGAAGGTAGGAGGGGAGATTGCCAGGACTGAGGGTGGGTGGCAGCAGGCACAGAGCTGCTTGCAGCCCCCAGACCTTCAAGGCCATGGCAAACATTTCCAACACAGCCTGCTGAATTCTGTTTGCAAAACTGTTGAGCTAAACTCTTTACCAATGCTGACTGCACTGCTGTAATGCTGCCTTCTGACTTAAAACCAGTTCGGGCTAATTGTTAAGGATCAGATAACGGGAAAATATTTCTATTTGACAGTCTACTATTTTTCAATTGTTCCTCTGTTACATATCTAAGTAAACATTTGTTCCACTTATCATTTCTGAGCAAAAGACATGAATCATTTGACTAGTAAAACCACAACGACAGCTGTTGCTTATTAGAAACAGTCATCTTGTTCAAGGGCCTGCTATGAAGGGGTTCTTCAGGAAACTGTTTCTGCTTTTAGTGCTTTACAGTGTAATGAAAGCAGAGTTGCAGAAATTAGGGCATTTTTATTTCACTCGTGATTGGCAAAACACACAGGCACACACAAACAGAGCAGTTGTTACAGCTTAGCTAGAAGCCTGCAAGAAAATGGAAAATACTCATTGAAGAGTACTGCTAATGATATAATATTATCTTCTTTGCCTTATGGTTTTCCACAATATAGGTCAAACAAAGTGGGTTCTAAGGTTTCCTTTGTGATTAGGTTATATCATTTTGGATTTGGGATTTGGTATTGGATAAATTCTGTATACTAATTATAAATCCTCTACCAGATATATATTTTTGCCTAGATCTTAGGAACAAATTAATTCTGGATTTGTAAATACCCCTAGAAGCCAGTCACCAGTGATGACAACAATGCTACTTTCAGATAAAGCTTCTCCAGCCAATGGTAGAGGGAAAAAAAAAATATATATATATATACATATATATTTATACATATATATATATATTAAAAAGTAAGATCTGCGTAAGAGAGTGCTATGAAATTGTTTTTAGTTGAGTGGAAGAAAATTAGGAAAGCAAAGCTGTGCCAGAAGGAATTTGTGAAATAAGTGAAACTGAGGCAGGTGAGATGCAAAGATTTTTCTTTCTAGGATGTTGCTACAAATGCCTTGTAGAGCATAAAGGCAGAAATATGTTTATTCCTGTGACTGCATTAAAAAAAAAAAAAAAGTATTCAACAGATGCCTTAACACTTAGACATTTTTTCAGACAAATCACTAGACTGACAAACCCAGTATGATGCCTTTATCACCAGGTTTGAAGGGAGAAGCCAATGAGCATAGAGGCTGCACTGATCCCAGCAGAAGAGAGGGGTGGGACATTCAGAGCAATTGAGAAATACTACCAAGCAGTGTTCTCTGCTGGTAAATAGGAGCATTCGTGGTTTTGTGACTTTGTTGTTTAAATGTGTTCCAAAACACTAAATTCACTTGCAAATATTAAAGAAGAGTGGGGAAAAAGACCAATTGTGGGATTATGGCAAAAGAAAAAGAAAGTAGGACAGAGGAATGGCAGAGAGAAGCTTGTAAGTGAGGAGACAAAGCTGAGGTTTATTATGAGTTAGAAATCTGCAAAACTGTCACCAATTCAGAAACTGCACTAAGCGAGGCTTCTAAAGATCATATCCTGCCCTTCATTCACCCTCGCAGCACTCACTGATGGGAGTCAGCACTTCGCTGCAGCTGGGTATTTAGAAGTCATTTGTTCTGTGTAACATGCCCGTTCTTACTAATCTTAGTCAAGTAAGTAGTCCATCCTCATGTGTCATCCCACGGAAGTCAAATGTGCTATTAGCATAAGTGATGATTACTTATCCGTGTGAGGTCTTGTGGGGTTGGGTCTTTCAGCATTGGAATACTTGACATGGCAGTCTTTCTATTATAATTTAATAAAATGGGGCCCAATTCAGCTCAGAGATGCCCTAGGGAGTCAGCTGGACTTAAATGGTGCTTAGGCCTTTGACTGGACCTCTGCAAAGCCTGAATTTCATTGAGTGAATACTAATTACTCAGAAGGAGGGTTATTAAATTATAGGCTCAGTTCTTTACTGTTGCTCAGAGCATGGTACCTTTCGAGTGCTTGAGCGAGTTAATGTACTGGACACAGAAGAAGGTTCTGGTGAGATTGCTTTCCTGATAAACCAAGGATTGAAGAAATGTTGTTAATAATTAGAGTATTTATAGATGTTGGTGAGCAAATTTCATTCCATAAAAATACTGTACAGTAAAAAAACGGACAGTATATATTTATATCAAAATGAAAACCTCTCTTGGAGCTGTGTAGATGGAAAAGGTATAACAAAATCTACCTCAAAGCCAGTGGAAATCTTCCTATTGATTTTGATGAGCTCTGAATTAAGCCCTCACAGGACCAGCACACGTAGGGGCCTTGACACATCACAGTCTTGGGTGACTGGGTGAGGCAGTGGAATCAGTGAGCAGCTGGGACATGGAACAGTTCCCCCAGCCAGCTGCCTTGTGCAAGGAGGAATCAATCAGTTCATCTCTCGTGTCACAGGCTGAGCACATGATTTTTAAAGGATTACTTGTATGTCTAACAGCTGATGTTCTCCCTCTTTTTAATTTATTTGTGTCTTATTGTTCTTCACCTGCTTTCTGACCAGCTATTGGCCTCAGAGTAGCTCCTGCTCTGTTTGAACCTTCATTCTAAAACCCTGCAGGTTCTCAAAGCATTTTCATTGTACGTGAATACTGCGGGACTTCCTTGTAACCTTTGTGACCATCTCCTTAATTCATAGATCTCCTGATTCCTAAAGTGTAATGGAGAAAGAAAAATTTTGTATCATCTTTTCCTAACCAACTAGCTCCTGCATCTGCTCTTTGCTGCACGCAATCTGCTGTAGTTACAGAGAGCGTGACTAGTTCTCTCTGTGACCCCACAAGACTTTAAACAAACAAACAAAACAAAACAGATATTTGAAAATGTCTTCACTGATAGGAGAAAAAATATTGCTGTTAAACTCAGAGGGTTTGGCACACTAGACTATGAGTGATATAATGGACCCGTTATAGCATTTGATCTTTATCTTTGCTTGCTATTCCTATTAAAACGATTTGCTGGTTTTATGTCTATTTCACTTTCAGCTTCCCAATCAGGTGTCCGGGAAAAATTAGTTGTTACATAAATTTTTTGCCAAATCATGCATATTAAAGGCATATATGCAGATCAGTCCTGTAACATCACACATATAAAATGTATTTTATACAGTGCATCACTTAGACTTATTGAAAGACTAAAATCTGCATACTAAATGGCAGGTATGCCCTCAGTAAATTAACAGAGAATCTTCATTGTCAATGTTAATCAAACAGCACTTTAAAAACTCTTCTTTTATCACTGTCTCAACAGTGTTTTTCTCCTGTTAGATTTAAAAACAAGCTCAGGCATTTTTAAAGCTTAGATCCCTTTGTGTACCAATGCCCTCATGCAACCCAAGAAAGAACGAGCCAACTCCAGCCAGCTGTAATCCATATAGAATCAATAGGACTTTCTCTTAGTAAAATTAAAAACTTTCCAGAAAAAAAAAAGCAACAATAAAACAAACCCCTTGCCTAATCAGCTTTAAAAAGATTCCAACATCTTTACATGTCAACCTGCATGCTTAAATTGAGGACTTTTTTATTTACTAGCTGTCTGAGAACTTGATTTTTCTTCATTTTCCCATTAGCGAGGCAGTTTAGGCAGCAGAATTCCTGTATTCCTCTCACTGGAGTAGCACAGAAAAAAAATCATTTGATTCCAGCGGATAGTAGTTGATTTCATTATTGTATTAGAGAAAATAAAGATTACAATTCCGAATTACTTTGCCTGCAGTCCACACACTAACCATATAAATGGCAATATGTGGAAAAGTTGACTACATCATAAAAAATTAACTTCCTGCAAGGATTTTCTTGAATTGGTTTCAAAAGAATCCTCCATTTGGCATCTTTCCTGTACTGAATTTCTGGAGGGTAACTGCATTATGTGCATGTAAAACATGAGAAAGGAAACGTTCACTGAACTCCTTCTTTCTGTTACCAAATGTGACTGTAGTACGTTGTTTGCGTTTAAAAGAGTTGCCTCAAAGCTAAATTCTGTGATTATGCGCCTATATGTGCGTGCATTATAAGATAACCACTAACAGAAAGTGAAACACTGTTCTCTTTCACTTGCTGCTGAGTGACAAAGGTTGCACTTAATGATAATTTGAATATTCTGCCAGCAGCTGATGATATTCTGTCCCTGCCAAACTAAATAAATAAATAAATAAATGCTTCCCTCTCCTACAGTAAATGCCCTGTAAGTCTATAGAAAACAAATTAGGAATGCGTTATTCTCAATGAAAAAAGTCTCCATGAGAGGTATAATTTTATTTTTCTTTAGTGCACGGAATAACATAAATCAAAAGAAGCAATAGTCTACCTTGTGTTTTGACTAGTTTGACCCTCTTCAACCCCTGCCAATTTTTATCTCATTTTTGTTTAACTTTGTACATCAGAGTTTAATTTTAAACCTGGTCCTGAAGACAGTGATGTATAGGGTACATCAAGTATAGCTTAAATTACCCTCTCCCCAGTGATTTGAAGTTGAGGGGAGGGTCCTACTCCACAGCAGGGTGGGAAAGAGAAATGGTCAGATGTTGCCCTTTGAACCTGACCACCCTCAGCTACAGAAATGTTTATGCCAGAACATCATTTATTGATTTTATTATATTTTAGGATCTCTTAAAACTGTTGGTGAAGTTTGCTGTATATTAATTTTTGACACATGCATATAAAAACAGAAATACGGGTTGAGCAGAAACTATAAATATAGACAACACTGCCCAATAAACTTACATCCTTTCACTTACAGGTTTCCATTTCAGCCAATCCTTCCGAGCAGTCTGTCTTTGGAAATAAATGTTACCCCTCTGATAAGCTAACCAATTTGAAGATTAAA